AAAAAAAAGAATATTGGCATGCTACGGAAAGAGGAGTTAGAGTAAATGAACCTCACTTCCTTCTTAGAAAGTACAAGGTAAATCTTGCAACATATACTATATTTATGTCTCCTAAGAAGAATTGTGGGTTAAAGAGTCTTTACCTTGTATGGATTGTAAAGAAACTGCCTTGCCAGTTGTTCCACTTCTTTCGGCCAGGTAGCACTCCAGTACAAAGTTTGTCGATCAGGCCGAATCTGTATTGAATATAAAATAGCATTTAAGAAAATTTGAACAAATAAGCACAATACAATTTAATGTCACCACCAACTAACCCATAAAAAATGAGCACAAGTAAAGCCACCCAAAACACACATAAATGCCTGGCTCAATGGCTGGCTATCAACCAGGACTGCACCACAAGCCAAGAAAATATAACTCAGTTTTAACAAATTGTCTAGACAGCCGATTCTTTATAGTCTGCAAATTATCATACTGAAATTCTGAACCTAATTCAGGAAATCTTCTAACTTATGTCGCAAAGGAATTGAGATTAGGAAGAAAAAATAAAAAGAAGGAAGAAGAAGAAGAAGAAGGTAGGTTATAACTAATACATTTTTCAATGGATATCAACAGTCCGGACAAAATCGTTAAAATGTATATTGAACAACATCAATTGATAAAACAACTGGTAATTATACAGTAGAATAACAGCCAAACAAAAGATTGTAAGACAACGGAGGAAATAAATGCATTAATCAAGTTGCAAAACAGCCAAAAACTGAGGTTTTAGAGCAAATCAAAGATCCCACACTACCAGAAAGTTACAATTTTTTACTCGATATTTTCTGGAACTTTTACCTTAGATATATCAAACCTATGAAAAAGAATTACATACACTAATGAGAGTAATGTAATTACATCTAGAGTACAGAACTTAAACCTGTGAAACAATTTTTCGTATTTGAGGATCAAATCCCATATCTAGCATTCGATCAGCCTCGTCCAGTACAAGGTAAGTAACCCTTCGCAAGTTTGTATGATGTGACTCCATCATATCAATCAGCCTTCCCGGTGTAGCAATTACAATTTCAACTCCTGGTATTATTAATTTAAGACGGCATGATTCATCTTGCTATCATGAACAACAATATTGAAAAGAGGAACAAACACAATAAATAATTACATTGAGTAGTAGTCATAAAGATTCAGGGGGCAAAGAATAATCAATTAATCAATGATTGAATGTACTGTAATTGAACTTCAACGACCCACCTGTCTACTTGAAACTGTTCTTGTAGGTCCATTTTAAAAAGGAAAAGAAGCTACTGTGGTTGAACTTCATAAAGCCTTCTTATGGGTCACTTGAACTGTCCTTGTGGGTCATCATTTTAAAAAGGAAAAGAAGCTACTGTGGTTGAACTTCATAAAGCCTTCTCATGGGTCACTCGGCAAGAAGGAATCAAAGAATCTTCATAGAAATTAACTGTCTTTTGATCGGTTTTTTGATGCGATAGTTTATAAGGTAGTTTTTTAGTATAAATGTTTCCCTATGTTGCATCATAGTTTTCTACTATTTTATCCAATTGAAGAATTTTTTTGTGACTCCCTTGGATAGAGTTTCTCCTTCTTTTATAATTTCATACTATCGATAAAACTGTTTCTTATAAAAAAAGACAATTGAACATAAGAAGAAAATGTTCATTGACAACTCAAACTTTTGTTAGGATAAGAGTATGGACATCTTGAACTTAATTCACCATTTACCTTTCTGAAGATCACGCACTTGAGGTCCTTTGGGAACGCCACCATATATGCATGTGTTCTTGATCTTCGATGATGCACCAAATTTTGTAGCTTCTTGTTGTATTTGAACTGCAAGTTCACGAGTAGGAGCTAAAACTAACACAATTGGACCATCTCCTGGAGCTGGGAAATATTATAAAACAAAAATAAGCAGTTGGTTTTGACACAATGACCCAATTAAACATTTAATAATCTGCACATTATTTCCTTACAAAGGATTGGTTGGGCATTGACATGGACAATTGCAGGCAAAAGGTATGCAAGGGTCTTCCCTGACCCCGTTTCAGCAATACCAATGAGATCTCGACCTTTTAGAGCCATTGGCCATCCTTGGGATTGAATAGGAGTAGGTTCGGCGAAGCCAGCTTTAGCAATTTCTTGCATGACATAATCTGGTACGCATAATATGATCAAAATCTTAATAAGCAACCATTATAAAGAAAAGTTGTTCAAATAAGCATTAGTTTAGCACATGTCAAGAATGATGAACTTTAAAATAAGATTGAAATTTGAACAATAAATGAATTTTTTTTTTATAAGAAACCGAACTTTTCATTGAGACTAATGAAAACAAAACCCAGCCAGAAACAAGGGCAAACAAAAACAATAGCCCAGAAAAGGAAGCCAGGCTAAAGAAATAATGTGGCAGAATTTCAGAATTGCTAATATGAGAAGTCAAAGTTTAGTTTGAACAAAAATAGTTCTTTCTCGAGAAAAATACCAGGAAATCCAACATCACGGAAAGACTTGACTGGTTTTGGAACATCGCGACCTTCTATAGTAATTTCCCTCCTTTGTCGATACTCCTCAACCTCTCTCTCTGTCATTGCTGCCACTGATGGTGCCTCGACGTAGAAGTTCTTCTCAAAAGGAGGCAATCCATCTAAATCCACCTTTCTTGGGGCCTCAGAAGCATAATAATCACTCTTGCTAGACGAGGACCGCACTGAACTGCTATAGCCTGTAGACCCACCAAAACCTGAATCACTGCAGCAGCCAAAAAAAATGTTAAGAGACAGAGCCACATGATTTAAGAAAAGAAATAAAGTACCACCAATGCGGTTGGGTTCGTCCTAAGAAGTATAGGAAGGACAACACATCATTTGCCAACAAGAATACTAAGCTACACTCACAAAAAGACAACATTTTAAATAGGCTTATTTAAAAATGTATTGGTATGTAAAATCATATTTTAATTAGCAATTGTGGAACCAAAAGAAATGTGATTTTGATTATTGGGATGATATTGTGAAAAGTTGGCATATTCTGGCCAGGAAAAATATGGAGGAGATTTAAGTTAGGGAGTTTATTGATCTTTTGAAGCTGCTGGACATGAATGAAGAAGGTGACGACTAGGGATCCTAACTCTTCGGGCTCCTTTACAGTCAAAACAAAAACAAAACTTCGGTTGGAAAATAAAATTTATAAACAATTATCCAAATACGTTTCCACTCCAAATGAGACGAAAAAACCCAAAAATAGCTTTTAAACACAACTCTTGAACAGTGCCAAGTATCTTCAGTATAGTCGTAGTCTGAGAACGAAGAAGACGACTGTCTGTTTGAATGAATTAAAGACCTTCTTTACGAATTGTGGCTAGAGCTAAATAATATCCTCCAGAAGATAACCCGAGTTTTACAAGAAATAGTGGCACTACACTAGCAAACATTTTGGCATCATCTTGGAGCATGCCAAAATCCCTTATAACTACTAATCTTCTGTAATTAATCCCAGTGGATGTTATTGGTTTCCAAAATTGTACTCTTCGTATATTCAATGAAAACCCTTTTCGTAATACTGCTCAATTAGATATGATGTAAGAAACTCTTGGCAGCTAAACGAGAAAGCCCTCATTGTCGTGAAAATCCAAGTACAAAACAAGTAAGCTCGCGATACCTAGAAGCACTACAAAACTTAAAATTCATAGAAACCGAAACAAACCCCGCATTCCATCAAAGTTTCCAATACGTCGAAAGCAATTGCATCGAAAAACAGAGGACGAACAACGCAAGGGAGGAGAGTTACCTTCTACGGTCGCGGTAAGAAGTGGGGTCGGAGGAGCGGCCGTCGTAGCGACTCATGGCGCCGGAGGTTGCCGGAAAGAAGGTGACGGAGTGGAAATTCAAGGGTTTTAGAGGCGGGCTCCGTTCAGGAAACACGAGAAAACGAACAACGGAGAGCTCTCTCTGCAGTCTCTGCCCTTCGCTCGATCGAGCTTTGCTAATCCTACGGCTGGCTGTTCTTTTTGAGCTCACGCCGCCTATTAAAGGATGACACGTATTATGCCCCGGATCAAATAACTCCTAAATTTGCATTTGTTTAAAAAATATTCGTCATTTCAAAATAATAATTAATTTGGCCTATTAATTACGACAATAAATTAACTTTTCACTTTTTTCTTTATTTGATAATTAACTTTTCTAATGTGAAAAAAAAAACGAACTTCTAAGTTCGGGAGATGTATCAATTTAGTTGTAAATATTTAATTTCCTAAATTTGTATCCGTGTTGAAATATTTTTTTTTTATTTATAAAATAAAACAAGCATGATTCTTCAATTAATAGTATTTTTAAAATGTCAAAACGAACCTAGCTAATAATTGACATATATCTCTAACCAATAGATTGTGAATTCGATCCTCACCCTACATATTTTACTAAATAGTACTTCTAAAGTTCACTTCTTTCCCATGCTACGAGTGAGAGGGAAAATGTAAAGGCTATCATTAGAGCAGTCCAATGGAGGCTTACCAAATCCATGCGAAAAAGAAATTCGGATACAACAGCATTGATGAAACAATCCAAAAAATCAAAATATAACAAATAATGTTATCATACAATAGACCCTCTTGGTGAGTATCGTTAAAGTTTAATGAATTGTAAAATATAGGCTTAATACAAGAATTAGGGAAATTTATTTGATGGTTGATTATGTGACTTGGTTGAGTTTAATTTTTTTTTTTTTTGCATGTCTTTTAATTTTTCAATGAAAATTAGCAAGATGTGGGAGATTTTTAAATTGTTTTTCTTTTCTTTTATTATTATTTTTTTAATTTTGGATTTGATGAAATTACAAAACTTACAAAACCAGGTCCACGACTCGGCCCAGCCATTGAAGCTATGGCCCTAAATAATGAAGGCCCATCTTGCAAGTATTTGAGCCCACTAGGCCCATTAGACGCGGCTCTTAAACCCCTCGGAAACCCAGGTTCCGATTATCAAGGAGACAAAATGCTAACTTTATCGGCGACTTCGACGAGCGTGGTGGCTTCGTGGGATACTCAGCAGAGGCTTTCGTATAATCCCAATGCCCCGAGAAGGCCCGGCAAGAAACCCAGTACTCTCGCTCTCTCGCCGACCTCCCAAGCCACCGGAAACGTTACCTTAGCTGCCCCAAATGTCCGGCCGGACCAAATTGTCTCCGACCTCCTCAAGCGTCGCAGTCCCAGCCCAATTGAAGGTAAATTCATGGTGGGTTTTCTGATTTCTTTTATGGGTTTTTGGTTTTCTGCTTGAAAGTTTGAGGTTTCTTCTGTTTCGTTGATGGGAGAGTTGGGGTGTTGGAGAATTCAAGTTTTCATTGTAGTTTATGCAATATGTTCTTTGGTGTTTGGAAATAATAATTGAACTCGAAAATTGGTTGACTTGGGGCTATTGAAAAATGGGTGCAATTCAATCGAGAAACCTGTTAGCTGAAGGCCCGTTGGTTGGATTAGAAAAGTTTAATTGGTACAGCTTAGCTTGAATTTTTTCACTTTCCTAACTTGGCTTTTTATATTATGGAACACATTAGAGACATTTGGAAGCAAGTCATTCTCGTTGTTTCAACTTTCAGATCCTTTTCATTGAATTTGAGATGTGTTAATCGTTTTCTATTGTATTTACTTACAGGCAAACCAGTGGAGCCGGAGGGTCTCTATTTGGGATGTGAGCAGTGGTTGCCAAATCCACCTAAGGTTCAGAAACCTCGATCCGTGTTCAATGCAGCATCATTAGCATATATTGGTGATTGCATCTACGAGGTGCGTTTCGGGCTCTTAAACTTTTTGGAATTGATATCCTTTTGGAATGTAATGTTTGTATTTGATGTCTGGAGTCTGCAAGCATTATATTGAAATAGATAGCAACTTCCATGTCTAGAATAATGTACTATATGAATTGTGAAGTTTGGTTGTCTTCTATGTCTTACCCTGACCGTTTCTGAAATATGCAGCTATATGCTCGCAGGCACTTTCTGTTTCCTCCATTGAATATTGAAGAATACAATGACCGTGTGATGGCTGTCGTTCGTTGTGAAGCACAGGTATGTCAAGTCTTGCTTAAGTTAATCTTGAATTGAAGAAATAATACTCCAACACTGTAACAATTTTGTATTTTTATATTTATTGTTCTGTATAACCCGTCCTAGTTAACTGTAAATTGTTAGGTTAGCTTTGACTAATGTCCATGGTTCTCGATTCCTCGTCAGTCCCCCCACCCTCCATCTAGAAAGTAGAAGACTGGCAATGTTCTGCTCCGACTTCTCCTAATTTGTTAATAATCGAACCATGTTTTTATTCTATGGATGTCGAGTGTATGGCCACATAGTGTTTCCTCATATCAGCACCTTTACGTAAGATCTCTGTATTCATGTTGATTTTGTTATATTTCAGGATATTCTACTCCAGAAACTTCTTAATGATAATTTCTTAACAGAGGCAGAGAGGTCGGTTGAGTATTTGAGCATTTCATTGGTTTCCTTCATTTGGAATTTTACTGCATAGAACTCTTTATCAGTGAGAAGTTGGGAATTTAATTGCCACGTAAATCCACATTCATGTATATGCTATGTAGCTATGATTTTCTTTTCCCTGATTTGTTTGGTCTTGTAAATTTTCATGTAGGGACATCCTTCGCTGGGGAAAAAACGTTGGTTCCTCCAAAACACGTACAAAGAAGCGTGCTGGTGCAGCAGTTTATAATAGGGCGTCTTCTCTAGAAACTTTAGTTAGTCTCCTCTGGCTCTAACTTCTTCTTTTGTAATAACGTTGCTATTTCATCAAACAAAATGTTTGAAACTGATTCTTTGTACTGTCTGTAGATTGGTTACCTTTACCTGAACAATGTTAAACGGTTGGACGAAATCATGCAAAAGCTCGGCTTCTCAACGGATTCATCCTTGCAATTGATTTCAGAGGAATCAAATAGTAAGTATAATTATAAGAAATACAACCCCCTTCCATGTCTATCTGTGATTACCACTGGTTTAGTTCATCCTAACGAATAAGCAATTAAAATATTAAACTAAAGATGACCTGTTGTATGTTCACATTCCATTGGCAATTTATTACCAAAATTTGCTGGCGACCTTATAATGTTTTCTACTTGAAATTTGGCTCAGGATAAAGGAAGTACACTGATTTGTATCCTTTCTAATCTCAACCCCACATCGTGTTTTTTCCATTAGGCAACCAACTGGGTAAGTTAGGAGACAATGACAAGAGCTGATAATCGTTGAGCGGAACCATGGGACTACACTAATACTTCTAAATGGATTAGTCCATCAGCGTCTATACAGTTTATCAGAAATTGATTTTTGTGGCTGCTGGCTCTGCTTGATCTGTGTACATCTTACACCATTCTTTCCAGTTCGTAAAGCTCCGTGCAGATAGGCATGTTAGTTAGTTGACATTTGTGGTTCTTAGTTGCCTATTACTTGTACTTTGTGGGAGTTGTGTAAATTATCTTTTCAAACTCTCTTGTTATTACATCCCTCTTACCATTTTGTATTCTGGCGATGTCTCCAACTTCTATCTGCAGCAACGTAGCATGGAAATACAGATATTTGAAGAGATATTTGGCTCAAGATAAAGGATGTAATCCAGTATAAACGACGCGGTTATAAAACTTCAGTTTGGTTTGGTTTGTGTGCGTTGTTTTGGCACGAGATTATGATTCCTAAAAAGTGCCACTTTAGCTTGAGTTTGAAGAGGCAAAAAGGAAGAATAAAGTTGAGGTGAAATTACCATATTAGGACTGCTTCACAGCATGAGAAGCCCAACATGGTCCAAACAGAGCAGAAATGAAATCAGCAGAAAGCCCAAGAGAAAGGAGAAACCCACCCCTTATTCGACATCTTAAACCTAGCCTAGAAATCTTAAGTCGGGGATAGATATGGAAGAATCGTGCAGCCTAAGTTTGAATAGTTTGTGTTTGAGGTTCAGGTTTGTATAGCGTATTTGGACTGCTTCGCAGCTTGAGAAGCCCAACATGGTCCATACAGAGCAGAAACGAAATCAGCAGAAAGCTCGATAAAGGAGAAACCCACCACTCGGAGGGCGTTTGGCACACAGATTCGACATTTTTTCAGCTTTTTTTTTTTTTTTTTTTTTTTTGGTGGAGGGTTGAGTTTTGATTATGGCTCAAGTCGATACCAGAAAGAAGATAACAGAGAATGAGTGATAAAAAAAGGTCGGTTTGTTTGATGGCTCTGATTTGATGAGTCAAGTAGGCCAAACAATGGCCAACAGTTTTGGATATGGCTTCATGAGTATGTGGCAATCCCATCCCAATTTGCCCTTCATTTCATACACTTCTCTTTCACTCATAAAACAAATATGGGAATTTCAATTGGAATTGAGTTCAAAGCTTTCCCATGCTGAAGAGAGGAACTGCCAAAAAATATAAATCAATTGACATATTTGATTATTCAAAATCAAACCTATCGAATCTACTCAACTCAATCAAGTCCATTAATTTTTTTTAAATTTTGATATGCACCCTTGCGATGAGGTGGTCCATTAAATAATTTCCACAAAAATAAAACAAATCTAAAGAATTAAAAATATTATTCCTAACTGTATACTTTCTTTTTTCTTTTTCTAGTAAAACAAATTAGAGGCACGGGAGTTTGAATCTCTGACATTAGGAGAAGGAGTAGATGTAAATTAGTTATGTTCATGCTGGTTTCTTTTTTCTTTTTCTAAATGAAAAACAACATGATTATCACAAAACTCTTCATGATTTTTGATTTGGTACAAAAACATCGAGCATCGTGAATGAAATTAGTATCGAAAATGAGAAGAGAAAAATTAGAGTTGATATCTCAAAATTCTAGGCCACCCATGTCCTTTCATTTTGCAACAATATGGATGAGAATATATGTGTCATCCTCATCCTTTACAATAGTGAAACATATTTCCAACCATCACACACCCTCCTCTTATCTTCCTTTGAATCCTCAAACATAACTTTCAAAACTATTGAGAATATTAAAGCAAACAATCAACTATATTTTTGTAGCTTTAA